GCACAAGTTGGGGAGTTTACCATTCACACTTTTTAGTTTGTCCGATTAAATAAGATGCTCCCTCTGTCGCGTCTTAATTTGCACAACTGCTTGGTTTTTGCCCAGAAATTTCCCATGTGAGGAGGCTGAGCGGGGCGACCGTCAGGATTGTTTTTGAGGAAGTTGTTGAAAAGCAGACAGAAGCAGTGCATTCTGTGGGAGTGAATAACTTCCTCTGGTTTCACGTTGGGTTGCATTTATTTAAAGCTGCAAAAACACCAGAAACCACAGAGGAGCAGAGATTAAAGTAGATCCAGATCCATCATCATTACACGGATATTTCATTTAATTAACTCCGAGTCGTTTCTGTAGTGACACATTTGATCTAACATAGAAAACTAAGACAAAAAAAAATCTTGCTTGTTAATTATTGTTCTTTTCCTGAATCATCTCCATTGTTCATCTGTGGTTCCACTGATGCAGGTCTAGTAAAAAGTATAACAAGATTGAGTGTTAACAAACAGTGTGAATTTACATTAGGAAGCATGAGGCTTTCATTATATTATGAAAAGTAAGTTTTATGTGAAGAGTTTTCACTCTCAACAGTGGACAAAAGGACTTTAACATGAATCCATTTTTTTTTTTTTTTTTTTTTTTTTAGCAGTCGTACGCTACAAAATTTATTAATCAGGAATCAGGACGGAAAGCATGAAAATCTTTTTTTTTTTAGCCATTTTTAGGAGAACATAGAGATTTTTTTTAGTCTAGGGGTTTTATTTTGGCCTATTAGCACCATTTAATACATAATCAAAACAGATTACAGATTAGTGGATTAATTTCGTGTGTGCTTGTTTCAGTTGGCAGTGACGTTGATTTTTAGTTTTTGTTCATTACGCTGCTGCGGCTGAAACAGTCAGAGATGTGAACAGTTGAGGGGAAATCTTTGCCTTTTCTCAGTGAACAGAACAAAATAGCAGCTGACTTTGTTAGGAAAATTGTGCCTCTTTGAAAATATATTTTATAGCGGTTGCATATTCTTTGTGTTTGGTGAAGTATTTTGTGTTGATCTGGCTCCATGTGTGTTGGATCATTGTCCCACTCACTGATGCAGGGATGACATTTTGTTCCCCTCTGAATTAGTGAGCTCAAATTAAAGGTGCGGTTGTCCTAAATTTCCCATTGTGAGATTATGATCCTGCAATAAAATATTATGTTTTAGGGCTTTTTATACATCTCCACCTGGGGCGCAGTGAAAAAAGAAAACAACTGTACTGTCAGCACTGTTGTTGTTGTTGCTGCTGCAGAAAAAGAAACAGTGAAAGTTGAAAGAGCAGAGGCTGGTGAGTGGCAGGTAATCTCCTTAAATCATCAGACAGATTACGCTCGGAACAAGCGCAGCTTCCTCCGCCAGCGAGGCGAGTTGGGATGACTCAGTCAGACGTACAGCACCAGCGAGTCCTTTCAAGCCACTTCGAATCTCACCAGCCCGACAGGAGAGCAGAAATATCCAACATGAATAAAATGTGTCTTCATCGAGCGCCTATCCTTCAGGCGAGACACAAACTTGGACAAAATTGTTTAGGCTGAGCCGTGTGCGTTTCTGTGTCACGCTGTCGCCCTGCGATAGATGCATGCGCGGTTGTCACACAAATAGAACATGCTGAGCGCATTCAGGAATGCTGCCGGTGAAAGGGAGAGGTTGTGAAGGGAAGAAACGGAAGAATCAAGAAGAAGAACTTCTTCGTTGATGCTTTTCTTCCTCTTCTTCGGGAAGAGGAAAGGAACTGGAGGCGTCACAAAGAATGGGGGGAAAAAAAGTAGTATTTTCTCAGTATAACAAACCATGTTCAGCACTGACTACATGTTCAATTTGTTTAATTAAATGCTTGTTTAAATCCTCTTTAATCAGGTTTTAGTCTTAACAGTCAGCACTTGTGCTGTTATACTGACAGACGCTTAATAAAGCAGATTCAGGCCACAGTTAACAGCTTTATAACTGCATACTCTCCATTTCCCAGTGTTTTCCGCATAATAATTAGATGAAACGTGAGACCAAAAGTTAGTTTAAAACAGAAATTTAATTCATGACCTAAATGCTCTTAATTAAAACGGAAGCAATATACTTTACAACATTGATTATTACAGTTTAATGTTTTGATACATCGACTAATGATAAAAAAAAAAAATCATTACGCTCAGATAAACACAAATCTAAAACGATGATATTAGCAGATTAATTCCTTATACGTACGAAAAGCAGCATGTTTTCAGACTCTCCCCCGCTGCTTTTTCTGCTTGGCAAGCAAACTAAAACCATTTTTTAAAATCTTATCTTACAAGAGCAGCGGCTAAATATCCTACCAGATTTACCCCAGAGGGTATTTCATATCCACAAAAAGTCTGTGGGTGAGGTGCAACTTTCTAAAGGACACAAAATCAAATTGTGGGCTTTGAAATTCATCAGGGTAACTGGCTGTGTTATCATTCCAGCCTGGAAAAAAAAAATGGTTCCAATTCATCATTAAAGCCCCCAGATTAAATTGACAGTTTTGCCCATAGAGAGTGAACACAAACTGTCCTCCAACGTTAGAAGGGGGATCGTGTGATTCAAGTATTTTCTGTATCTTTTTGCCTTTGACCCCTTTATTGATCACCTGTTTAGAAAAGATCAAGGAAATACTGCAGATAACCCCCAGGCTCAGTCAGCATCTAAAACCACCAGATAGAAATCACCCACCTGCGTCGCTCACTGGCTCAACTGGGTTCTTCATGTGACCCTCAGACCGGATAACCTGAAAACACAACAACAAGGCCGCCGTGTGTTGTGCTTTCCACGAGGTCGGTGAAAATAAAAAGACGATTGTGTGCTTTGTATAATCATGTGATGAATGAGTGACTCTAGCATGTGTAGGGAGTGTTTGTCCAGTAAATGCTTGAATAGAACCAAACCATTAGCATGTTTAGACGCTATAGAGAGAGAATTGGGACGCGAGTGTATATGTTATCTACAGGTCAGTAGGTTCTGGAGGGAGGAGGAGCAGCAAATCCCCAAACCAACACTTCCTTTCATTTCTCAACAGAATAGCTATAAACCAGGTTTGAATTTCTAGTCTTGAATTTCCATCCATCCATTTTCTTTACACCCTTGTCCCTCAGTGGGGTCGGGAGGGTTGCTGGCGCCTATCTCCAGCTAACGTTCTGGGCGAGAGGCGGGGTACATCCTGGACAGGTCGCCAGTCTGTCGCAGGGCAACACAGAGACAGATAGGACACACAACCATGCACACACACACACACACACACCGAGGTAGAATTTGGCGAGGCCATTTAACCTAACGGTCATGTTTTTGGACTGTGGGAGGAAGCCGGAGAACCCGGAGAGAACCCACACATGCACAGGGAGAACATGCAAACTCCATGCAGAAAGACCCCAGGCCAGGAATCAAACCCAGAACCTTCTTTGCTGCAAGGCAACAGTGCTACCAACTGCGCCACTGCGCTTTAGTTGTCTGTAAGCAAGTTGATTTGTCTATGTACATTTGTTCCTAACTGTAGATGTAAAAGTAAAATCCCTGTGTGTGTGTGTATGTGTGTGTGCGTGTGCTGGAGGCAGGGTCCTGGCCTGTTTTTTTCCAGGTGTGTGTTTTTTGGCCTGAGGGGAGATGGAGCAGATGGTCCCCGTTTACGTGTGGCCCCAGTGTGAGGGTGTGTTTGGCTTCAATGTCTCTCTGCCCACAGACCTCGATTTAAAAAAAAAAATAAAAATCACAGGAGTCAGACTGTAAAAAGGTGCGAAAAGGGGCAGGAAGATTCAAAAGCTTCAGCTGATGAAGTGTTTACCACTGCAGTTACGCACTTACAAGAGGCCACGTTTTCCTGTCATTTAAATATGCAGAGGGCTGCCTTCCCGTAAGGGGAGAATCTGGATCAGATGACCGATTCGTGTGTCCAGCGGTTCATGTGTTCGCTGATCTGCGGGTGACATCATTGTCTCCAAGGATACATCATGGGGCTTGAGTGTTGACTCATTTTAAGAGAGAAAATTTCAAAATGCTCCTTCACTGTTGACATGGGCTCATTTCAACCCTGTAGCCTGCACAGGTTGGACACTTCAGGAGCCCTGGGAAATCAGAATGTCCAGGTTATCAGGCTTGCATTTTTATGTCACAAAGCATTATCAGAAGACGTCAGCCGAGGCAAAAAACTTTGATTCAAAGGGCAACAAAAAGCTAATCTCGTCACCCAGAGGGGTGCTGCAGAAATGACACGTCTCATTATTTTCACTGCTATGGAAATTAGGATTATGATTGACTTAATCGGTTTCTTTTTAGGTTATTCGGTTCATCCAACACACATGAGCCATTCCCAGGCTGTCATGACAAAATGTTAATTTCTTGGCGTTTTTGAGACATTAGTATAACAATTAATATTTTTGGCATCGGCTGTAATTGATTCAACATTGCGTATGATTAACAGAAAAACGGCAAATTGAAACTATTCATTTCTATTTAAATTTATGGCTTTCCACCTTTCATTCATTTTCAAGTTTAGACCGAACGCTTTGTTATATTTTTAGTGCGTATTTGGCAAATTTTGTTCAGGGGAGGCGCACACCTATGTTAAGGTGCATTTACATTGATCAAGGAGCACTACTGCCAAATTCTTCACCACACATCGAAGGTTTGGTGGTTGAAGCTTGGACACAACTAACTTTTCCAACAAGAGGATCAACCAAATTTATAGTCATTGATTATCAGCCAAAATGCTTTATAAATTGTCTAAAGCTGTGCAGGGCCAACGTTGTATTTCAGCTTCTCAGTGCTAAGTGTACTATGATGGTCAGATATTTTTGAGGAGCTGTACTTGTTCATGTCCTTTATATATTGATTTGGTGAGCAGAAGCAGAATTTGCTGTAAACGTGGTCACTCAGAGTCAAAACTCAAACCCCCAGCCTGGGCAGATTTATGTGTTTTTGCTTTCCCTGATCTTTCCTAATCAAGGCTCTTTGTGTCTCTTTTCAGTTGATCCCATCATCCCAGGCTTTGTGGATCACCTCGCCCTCTTTATCTAAAGAGATTCCCCCCGTGGATCGCTACTTCATAACAAAGCCTATGGATTACAGAGGGTGTTGGAAAGGCTTTGATCACAGCTATGTCAATACCGTGACCCAACCCAAGTGAAGAGGAGCTTCAGTTATTTGTTTAGTTTTTATTTTTTTGCTGTTTTTGCAAATCAGTTCGACCGGGACTTTCATCAGTTACATGTTTTATTTGATCAGCTGCTTTTTTTGACTCAAACACTCTCGCGCGCAGCACCCGGCTCTCCTTCCGCCCACCATGTACGGTAGCTCCCGCTCCGTCTCCAAGCTGGACGTCGTCGGCTCCAACGGTAACGGCTCCGTGTCCGGGAGTCCCGGCCGCTCGCCGCGCCTACCGCGCTCCCCCCGTTTAGGACACCGGCGGAACAACAGCAGCAGCTCCGGCGGCGGACTCACCGGCACGGGAAAGACTCTGTCCATGGAGAACATTCAGTCCCTGAACGCTGCCTACGCCACCGGGGGTCCCATGTACTTCACCGACTCAGCCGAAGACCCGGTGGGGAGCATGGGCAGCGGGCTGAATCCCAGCGCGCCCAAAAGCACCATGACCCTGGGTAGAGCCGGAGCCAGGGTGCCGTATGGGGTGAGGGCAGCGGTGATGGGGAGCAGCCCGAATATAAACACAGGAGGAGGGAGCAGCAGCGCCGCCCTCATGCCCGCTGATGCCATAGCATTTGGAGGGGAGCTGCAGAACCAGCCTCCACAAGCAGCCACTGTTCCTCACTCCATGAGACAGGTGAGACTTCTGACCTTTAACCTTATCTTACGGCCATCCACCGTAACACCAACAGTCATGACATGAAAGTTTTACCATATGCCAATATAGAATTAGTCCTGTGATGATAACAAATTTTGCTAGATGATAAATTGTCCCAGAACTTATTGCGATAAATGATGATATTGTTGTTTTGAGACCATTTTCAAGGAAAATAATAGTAATAGTGTCACAATAATGCAAGAGCACATTCTCAAGGACCCAACCTTTAAATTCTAATGAACTTTTAAAGACTGGAACTGGAAGACATTTTAAATCTCCAAAATAAATAAATAAAACAACAGAAAAGACAAATAAAATGAACTACGAAGTCTGTGTGAACAAAATGATATTTCAGAATTATTCAAAGATAATTCAATAATTTTGAAGTATTGAATCAAAATGATTTAATTCAAACCTGAATTCAATAAAAGTCTTAATATTTTTATCATTCAGTTTTTGGTAAGAAGAGAAAGAAAAGAGAAATTATTGTGACAGGCCTATACACACATTTTTCAAATTTTAAAGAAGCTTGAAAACATGGATTATTTTCAGTCTTCCTCATGTTTCGAACGAAAAGGAAATGATTACACATCACCATGTTGTGTCATTGCAGTGTTGCTCTGGCCTGTACTTTTACTTTCTGACTAAGCTTGAGGCCAAAATAGTTTTTGGCACTTTTTTTTTTTTTAAACATTAATTAAAGTGTTTTCTAAGCAGATAATGGGAAGTTTGTAAGAGCCTGGTCTTGACGTTGTCTTTGTAACAGTAGACTCCTTATCTTCCAGTCGGCTCATAAAAAATAAAAGGAGGACTCACTTCTGGTTGCGCAACTCGATGTTTAGTCACGCGGATGCATTTTGCACTTTCCCTGCGTGAATCCAGGATGTGGGAAGCCTGAACTGATTTTCGGCCCGGCATCTTTAATAGGTGTCATTGTCTTCTTAAACCACCCTTCAGCTGAGTAAATCAAGAACAGTGTGGGCACTCTTACGTTATATTTAAGGTCTGCCCTCGCACTACCTCCTCACCATGAGTCACAACCTGAGAGCTCACCTTCTCCAGTTGTAGCTCTCCTCTTCTATCTGCAGGTAATTACATGTTAAACAAAACAAACCGAGTGTCTCACCGCATCTGATTTACTGTAATTTCATTAACTGTATTTTTTTTTTTTTTTAACTTGCGTCACATTCATTAAAGTTTATACCTGCCATGATTTCGGCAGAGCCAAAGTAGTAGTCTGTTTGTTCATGAAAAATAAATCCAGGATATTTTTAATTCTTTAACATGCTGCTCATGTCAGGTTGGCTTTAAGGATTCATGCAGGGAGCATTTTCTCATAAATACTGAATTATCCTATGCTGCAAACCCTTCTGTTCTCCTTCTATTGATTTTAAACGTTTGCTGTGTCACGACTTGCCAAGGTTTCAATCGCATTAACTCCATTAAAGGACTGCAATATTGGAAACAGGCAAAACTTTTTTTTTGGTTTTTTTTTTTTTTTTTTTTTTTTGTACAGCTGCAATTCACGATGTCGGCACCTTACAGTGAAAGAGTTCCACAGATGAATCATTTTAAACACATTCCACCTTTAGCAATGTATCATGAGCAAATTAACTGGAAAAACAAACAAGTGTGCTTGTTTTAAAATCACATTTTTGCTCATTTGCATTAGTTAGCTCAGTCCGTAGTTAGTGGAAAATGGTAATCATGGGTTTTGGGGACCACAATTGCCCACACTTGTAACTTTAAATGGTAATAGTCTAAACACCAAATATATCTTCATATGCACATTGGAAACCACCTTGTGCTCTACTGCTGACACTAATATCTCCAGTATTCTTTATTTCCACTTTTTCATCGTTTCAAAACGCCGGGAAATTAAAGATACACGCCGAGTTTGAGCTGGTAAAGAGTTTGTAAGAATAATCCAGCTGATCGATGAGACAATTTGATACTCCAGCTGAGAAGATACTGCATTTTAAGGGCTAGTAATGTCGTAGTGCTGCAGCAGAAAAGCATAATGTGTCTCTAGTTGAAAAGAGAAAGACATTTTAAACTGTTTGTTTGTGCTTTTACAGGTCAGAGAAGGGGCAATGTCAGACCTGCAAACGCAGCTCAGAGAAGTGCTTCGAGAAAACGAGCTGCTGCGCAGAGAGGTACGCGCTCTTTTTTTATTTATGTCTTATAAAAAATTTATACATTTGTAAAAAAAAAATTATTTTATTTTTAACTTTGGGAGAATTCAGTTGTCTTGAATTATAATCCCCAGTGGAAAAAAAGAAAATCACGTGCTTTAACAAGGGATAACGTGTTGACATGTTTACACGTGTGGAACATCATGTGATTCATGTGTTTGTCTCATGCGTTTCACATATATCAAAAATCATGTGAAAAATGCATGTGACGCATTACAAAATAAAACACATGTGAACCACAACAATAAAAACAACAGAAATCTTTTTACTGAAGATTTCTGTGATCTTATGTCATGGACACCGCTAAATTCAATAACAAAATGCTAAATATTGAAGTCAGGAAAAGCAGGTTTTATGTTAAATTTTACACGTGTAGAAATTGTGGGGGGGGGGTTTCCGTAAAAGAGAAACCAAAGGGTCGCTGTATTATCGAGTCAGGACTGGAGACAGTTTTGGGTTCTGCTGCAAGTGAGCACTTAAATCAGACGAAGTGACAAACGTTTGCTTGTGGTTTCATGCAGCTGGAGGGCAAAGAGTCCAAGCTGAGCTCCTCCATGAACTCCATAAAGACGTTTTGGAGTCCAGAGCTGAAGAAGGAGAGAGCGCTGAGGAAAGACGAAGCCACAAAGATGGCCGTGTGGAAGGAGCAATACAGGGTGGTGCAGGAAGAGACACAGGTAGGAGGCCTTCAGCTTGTAGCCTGTTTGCAGGATGTTTTTGAAGCAAAAAAAAAAAAAAAGCTTACTTAATGATAATGAACAGATAACATTGAATGCATATTTTTTAGTCTTTTTGCAGACCTTTGTCTGACGTCAGAAGGAATTATAAGGTGAAACTGGTGTTTAATAGTCTTAGTCAATTCGCTGAAAAATTGTTATATTCTGTAATCACTTCTTCCTTTCTATATAATTTGGTATTTTGGTATTTCATCTTCCTTTGGTATCTTTTCTGTCCCTACTAAGAAAACTTTGCATTTAGCTAATAATGTACATTATTATATGATCTCTAGTGCTTTGGTTAGTGGTGTGACTTGGTCTCAACAACAAAACATAGTTTTATTACTAAGGTGTATATAGCCCATCTGAGTTAAAACTTGGTCATACTATCTTTTACTGAAGTTTTTTTTTTTTTTTATCTCATCATCTTTAATCAGCTAACGGTTAAAGTTTTGCCACGACTTCTCAGTTGGATATTGCTCTAGACTTTAACTGGGCCATTCTAACAAATAAATATGCTTCGATGTGCATAAACAGCAGACAATAAAGACAACTGTGGCAGTGATATAGGAGGGAGAAATGAGCTAAACAAAAGCCCAGCATGGGCATGAACAAAAAATGACGCTGATTTGTGTGGCTAATAATGACGATGGGATGCTAAAATTCTGATTTGAGAGCTAAAATTAAAATCTCTGCTAGGATGAGATGTGAAAAAGTCCAAGTGGTATCATTTTGTCTATTTAAGTGTTTTGTAGATTCACAATGATGAGAGATTATTGACTTAATTAACTGTCCGGATTACCCTAAAACAAAGAAAAGTTACAGATAGCAGATTGAAAATGACTTTAGCGTAATACTCCCGCAGACTGCAGCCATCACCACAGGCAGGGTTTATTTTAATGGTCTGTGTTGGTAGATTTGTCTCGGCGCCGTGAGTGGAGAGCCACAGATGAGGCAGCGCGGCCTGGTTTAGGGACTCCCAGCTGTCTGTTGGTGCTGCAGCCATCTGGATGAGACAGAGACTCTGCTTGTCTGGCAGCAGGCTGAAATATTATACAAGAGATGACATGCACACATGTAGCTGCAGCCGCAGCGCCTCGTTTCTCACATCAACGCCGCGAAGCCACTTCAGAGAGCTTTCCTCAGACTTTGTAGCATGCCGCGTTTATGTTGTGGCGGTGTCATTTGCGTGCACGCACATTTATTGAAGGTTAATTTGGAGGCAAATGTGGGGGCAAAAAAAAAAAAGAAGTCATATTGGAATGTGAAATTATGCAATAGGAAATTAAATCAGAACACGTTTTCCAGCAGTTTAATGAATCTTTGATTCATTCGGTTTAAATAAGGCCTTCGCTGATGAACAAAGGGTTGATGAATTTATTAATGCCTCATATAGCTGGTCTGCTGGAGCTGCCCTCAAGCTCTTTTCCCTCTGGATCGGTGTCGGTGCTGTAACAATGGATACCCACATGCGTTTCAACATGCAAGCATGTCATCTCAGCTCTAGAATGAAGAAGTATCCCCTGTATGGATACTTTAATCTTGTTTCCACTTTTTTGTTTTTCTTTCCCCTCCGACTCATGAACCTTCTCTTCTCTCGGCGCCGTCACGTCCTAAGTCAGCTCTCCTTACTGTGTCCTCACCACTCAGTCTTCGCCATCATCTTGGTGTTAGAAATAGGATTAAATTACCTTCCAGAAATTTTAATAAATATGAGTCCAGACACATAAAAGCCAACTCACTCCCCCGCTGAGGAAAGCTCATCTCTTCTCCACCCTCTGCCTTTTCCTCCCTCCACACTTCTCCACTTTCACCTCCTCCTTCATGCCTGACTCATTATCTTTATCTCTTCTCCTCTTATCCTCTTCCATCTCTTCTCCATTTCTCCATTGTATTCTCTCGACATGCTCGCTTTACTTAATATTTATGAAAAATCCAGCCTTTGAATAAATTTATTCAGCGGGCAAGTTGATAAGACATATTTCTTAATCACCAAAATCACTTCTGCCACTAACATTAGTGCCCCATGCTGGCAATGCTCTGTCCAACCACCTTTTTGTTGGCATCTACTCTTCTCTTAAAACATTTCACATGCTGGAAACACTTTGATCTTCAGCTTGCCCCACAAGTTTCTTTTAGGATTTGGGTCTGGGGACAAAAATATCCGTAGAAGAAGACTGACTACGTTACAGAAGAACCATTCCTGTGTTTATCTCGCCTTAGTTTTTCATCGTTACCCTTTGAGATGGTCCAGTGACGACCTAATTTCAAACTTAACGGTATTTCAAAGAGTTCAGACACTTGCCCAACTTTTCCAGGGCCTGTGGGATCGTACCAGACCTTCCACCATACCCAACTGTGATTATGAGGAGCTTCTACATGCACTCGTACCAAAAGGGAGTGTTTGTTCCCCAAAACAAACACGCACACCATTGAAATAGAAACAAACTGAAAGAACTGCAAAAGCAGCAGCTGCTTAGAGAATATCATATAGAGCTGACTGACAGCACAGCAACAATGTGGAAACAGAAGCACCTCTCACATAGTGAGAAAACAATGACCCGAGTTTCGTCCAGAAAAACTGTCATGAGACATTTTATCTTAAAAACCATCCTTCATCTTTATTTCATCCACATTCAGTAAACTTTCCCTCGTTGCACCTTCTACTCATCGTCACAAGACTTTCTCTTTTTTTTTTTTTCCCCAACCGTTCTTTGTTCTACTGTCATTTCACTCCCACCACCAGATTCCTTCCCTGTCACAACCAACACACACTCCCCACTCTCCATCTGGACCCGCGGAGCCGGTTCACTCCAGAATTTATTATAAAACATCGGACATGCGGCCGTCCCACTAAGTCCAACTTTCAGTCCGCTGGTGTCTCTTCTTTTCAGTGTGGTCAGTCTCATTCATCTCCTTCAGCGCGCTGCCTTGCTTTACTGTCTGCACACAGACACACACACACACACACACACACAGAGCACGTGTGTGTGTGTCTGAATGTGTTGACTCGGTTCGTTCCTCCTCTTTGATTGCAGAAGGTAAGAACAATGTTTCAAGCAGAAAGAAGGAAAAAAGTGGGAGAAAATGGAGAACTTGAAGGAATGTGTGGAATGCGCATATTTCCCCCTTTTCCTTCTCGTTGGCCTGCAGTTTTGCCTCTTGTGCTCCTTCCCTCAAACCAGACAGACGCTCCGCCACAATTACAAGTCAAGCAGCAGTAGGAAAAGCATCACTGCTTTCATTTGACTACTCACTCTCCCCATAAATCAAGCTTTGACTTCTTTGTGCGAGTGCATCGCGCTCCTTCCTTGGTGCAAGTTCGTCCCGGCACTAAATCACAGCAGCTTGAACAATAACCACTCTGTCCGTCCGTTTCTGCGAGTGCGAGATGCAATCTATCATCTACTGTACTGTGAACGAGGCGCGCTGGCCTGACGTCAGAGGCAGCATGGGTGTGAATGTGCGCGAGAGATTCGGAGGGAGGAGGAAGGCCTGTGTTCGGAGCCGAATTGAACGATTTTTACCAGCTGATTATAAGTGGGAACAATTTTTTTTTTTTACACCAGCTAGTGTGTGTGTGTGTCTGTGTGTGAACTTGCATGTTTCCACAGATGGATTTGTATGCAAAGGGTCAAAACAAATGGGCTTCAGTGTGCCAAAGGGTGCAGACTCACTTGACTCTTACATAAATGTGCTTATACCTTGCACTTAGTCATAAAAAATAAAATACATTGTCGTATATAGTTCTAACATGAAAAAAAAAACAAAAAGACAAAAACTGGTATGACTACCTCGGTCAAACCAGAAGAGTTTCTGAGCACAACATTACTCTGTTTCTATATTTCTGAAACGGTTTGTGTTTTTGTGGAAATTGAAGAAAATTGGTTGTGGCTTGATGTAAAAAAAAAAGCCCTGCGTTTGTGTTATGTAGCAGTACGATTCTGCTGCATTGTGTTGACTCTTGTGAATAATTTAGCCGAGTAGAGTGCTGGTGGGGAAACAGAAGAGAGCTCATGTGTGTCTGTCTGCAGATGGAGGAAACTTTAACCTCCGTCACAACACACGAGTTTTATTGACGTAGTTTGCTGCACGTCTGCAGGCTCAGTGGTTCATGGATTAGAAAGTACACATTTATTAGCTCAGGAGGTTCAGTTTTTATCTGCAGGAAAATCAAAGCAGCGGTGTGTCGCTGCGTGTTGTGTGTGAGTGTAACTCGAACAGACAGTTGAGCACAGCGCCTGTTACACCTGGGCAGCCCTTACCTCCAGGTGAGAGATCGGATGAGATGGACGGAGATGAGACAGAAAAAAGGAGATTCTCCTTCACCCTTCTGCCTCGTCCTGTCATCTGTCTTTTCCTTTAAATAACTTACTTTGATACGTAAGTATTTCATTCTGAAATTGAATAGCAATAATGTAACCCAACAAATGTATAACATCTTAGAGAGGCCATCCCGGTTTGAATTATTAGAAGCAAAATTGGTTATTTGCTTGTTTTGTTGGAACACTTTAAAGCGAAAACGGCTGCCAGAATGATTCACAACACTTCGTATTATCTTTTTTTTTTTTTTTTTTTGCTCCCTGAGTGACGGCTTATAATCACTTCAAATCACTTAATGTTATTACGCCAGGATCCCATTTGTGCCTCTGGCAGTTCTTATTTCATTACTTTGTCCCCAGCTCTCAGGTCGTCTCCACGGAGCTCAAATCTAAAGGAAATTTATGTTGCCAAAAGCTTCCCGTGTTAAGTTTCTTTTCACCGTGCAGAAAAGAAGAAGAAGAAGAAGAAGAAAAAAAAATGGTCCCAGCAAGAGTTTGGGTGCCAGCTGGCTCTTAGAAACGCTTTGGCCAGCAATCTGTACACCGCCATAGTCGCAGAAGAAAGGGAGGGAGATATAGGTGGGGTGTGGCCGCTGGTAAATAATGGATCAGGAACACGACTCGAAATGTAAAGGTGTG